AGTTGATTATTCTGGATTTATATTGATGTATTTTCCTGATGTGCGCAGTAGAAATTGCATATTTTTCTAGGTTTCTTTCTTGCATGCCATTTTTGCTTTCGTCTAGATTTCAGTAGGCTCTCCTAAAGACTATAAAAATTTTTCTACTCATAACTAATCTTTAAAATTCTAAGTCTTAAATAACATAGAAATCTAACGAACTTAGGGAACTACCGGAATTATCCGGGGTCGCATGCATATTATTGTATTTCCTCTCTTCTTCCTATAAGACATCTCCCTGCCGGCAGGTAGAGTCCGAATAATCTGACATATGAGAATGAAGTGCCGGACCTAGGGAGACCTATTCTTTTCAAAAAATTATTTTCTATAAGCCTATTTTTAAAACTCTATAGAGTTTATGAGCTGACTTTTCAACTAACATGCATTGCATTAGTAACCAACTAAATAAAATTTAATTGCATTAGCTAGGAGCATCTGACCCACATAAGTCTAGGATAACTTAGGAAACCCTCTAGATGTCGGTCCTATTTCTAATAATTGTACCATCCACCCATCTTTCATAATTGACTTGATAATATAGTTTTGAATCGACTAGGTGGTTAGCTCGCTCCCCAATCCAGGTTGGGGTAAGTCCAAGTTTTGTACTGCATTAGCTAGGACACGGGTCTTAGTGTATGTAGAACACTAAACCCAACCTAGATCTAGGATTCAAGGCTACTACACTTGGTCTCGTAGTATGCCTTAAATAGTAGGTAGGTCCCTTCCTTTCAGGGACTATAAACCCTACTTGTCTGCGTCACATGGATGACGCCACTTCCACTACAGGAAAATCACTCATTTCCGGCGGCAATTTCGGCGGAAAATGGGCATTTTCCAGTGGTTTTGTAATTTAGCGGCGGTTTTCCGGCGGTTTAAATGCCGCCTGGTAAAAACCGCATAGGAAAATAAATTCCGGCGATTTTTTCCGGCGGTTACCGGCGGTCTTAAACAGCCGGTCACAATTAAAAAAAAAAGATCGCCCCGCCCCGAACCCCGCCCCCACCGGGGCTCCGCGCTCCGGCCAGGCTCCCGGCCACACAAGCTCCCTCAGGCGCGGGCCCGCGCTCGCGATCCCGGCTCCCGCGCTCTGGCGAGGGTTCCCGCTCCCGCAGTCGGCCAGGCTTCCCGGCCCGCTCCGCCACGTCTGCGCACGCGGTGAGAATCGAACGTGGATCTCCCGCGTTAGATTTTCAAGCGACCGACCGAAATTCCATTTATGCAAATACGTTAACATTTGTCAATTTTATTTATTTAAATATATTCAGACCGAAAAGCAATTAATTATTTAATTTTTTTTTAAATAAAACTAATTAATTTAAAATAAAAAATAATATTTAATATAAAATAAACAATTAAACTAACTATAATTTTAAAATGAAAAATTAATTAAATAGTTTAATATAAGTTTTAATTAATTTTTGTTAAAATCATTTACATAGTAAAATATTTTTTTATTTTCAATAATATTTTTAAAGCCTCCGGAAACGTGAAAAAGCCGCCGGAAAAAGCCGTCGGAAAATTCCGTGGGAAACTACCGCCGGAAAGTCGCCGGTAATCCGCCGGAAAGCCGCCGGAAAATTCCGCGGATAATTTGCGGGAAATAGCCGTCGTAAAATTTGCGGGGAAAATAGCCGCACATGGAAAATTTTGTAGGAAATAAGCCGTCAAAAACCGCCGGAAACTTAACCGCCGAAAAGCCGCCGGAAAATTCCGCCGGTAATAAGTGATTTTCCTGTAGTGTTCCATCATTCTCTCACGTATGTGGTTGATTGCTTGTCTTTCTTTCTCAAGTTTTCCTTTAGTACCTAGAGCCTCTGAATGCTGTTATGAGTCACGCATGTCGATTCAACCCTTCAGACCTTTCTTCCTTTTGAGTAGGACTTCTTAGTCTACACCCTCGTGGCAATCCCACTTTAGGAAAGGATAATGTATGATCCTTAATAGAGAGTTTTCTCGGGCTCCAGCTTGTGATGTAATTAACCACGGGGGCTTGCACCCGTGGTAAACTCGGTCCCACATCTACTAAACCCCACTTGAGCTGTCATATCGGGTTGGGGAAACCTGTGATTAGGTCGTGTATATTACTACCCATCGGGGTGTGTTGGCGACAGACTCTATCCTCAATGGTTAGTCGTATGCACGATCCAATCTACTCTTCCATCGACCTGTTCGTGTCGAGTGTAGATGCCTACGATCATTTTGTCCTATGGGATAGTGCGGCCGTACCCTCTGCATTTATACCCCACGAGCGATGCTCTTTCGGAGGTCCACAGTTACATAAGTGGAGGAGATTATGAAAACCCTTAAGTAAAATAAGCTAAACTCTTAGACATAAAGATGCTTTTTAGTGTAATGGTTAAAATTTTATCATAGTTAAGCATGCACATCTCAAAAAAATTCTAGATATCCTCCAAAATGAGTGGAGTTTGAACCCTCACACAATTATAGGGAGCAGGCTGTGGCGGGCAGGAGCGGGTGGGCGTTCAGGTGTATGGGTGGGCGAGCATGCATGTAAAACTTCTTAAGTAAAATAAGCTAAACTCTTAAATATCGAGATGTATTTTGATGTAATAGTATAATTTTATTAAAAAACTTTGTAGTTAAGCGTGCTTATGCATAAGAAATCTTGGGATGTATGATCTTTTGAGAAGTTACACCAACATGACAAAATCGGGAGGCCCTTAGACTAAAGTGAACAATATATTAATAGATAAGAGTTTGAGCTATTATAAATAATAGTAGCACAATATAGTAGATGAAAAAAGAGAACTAAGTGTCATACAAGATAAAGTGCTACTCCATGGGAGCCACCTCTTGAAACCTGTTTGGAACAACGTGCTTCATGATGGGAGTCATCACTTGAACTTATAGGGGCCACCTTTAGAATTCTATCTTCATGGTAGATGATTTTAGGATAAAGATAATGACAATAATGTTAGTTACTTAAGTGGAGGAGATTGTAAAATACCTTAAATAAAATAAGCTAAACTCTTAAACATCAAGGAACATTTTGGTGTAACGGTTGAAATTTCCTTAAGAAACTTTGTAGTTAAGCATGCTCATCCAAAAATAATTTTGGGATGGGTGATCTCCAGAGAAATTACACTAGCAGAACAAAATCGTGAGGCTCTTAAGACAAAACAGACAATATTTCAATTGTTAGGAGTTTGGGTTATTACTAGGCACGTTTGGGCAGCGGGCTGAAAATTAAGTGTGCGGGCGGGCGGGCAGTGCAGATAGAATTTGAGCAAATGAAAATTGAGTTTTATAAAAAATTTTGGCGGCAATTTCTGCCAGCAATTTTTCTTGCAGAATATTTTTTGCCAATAATTATTTTTTGATGCATGTTTGACCGACACATAAATTTTTTATCAGAAATCAATGAGAAATGCATTATTTCAATAGAAATTGTTTGATTTCTGGCTAAAAGAACTCTAGAAATCGGCCATTTCCTTGTAGTGAAACTTCTTGAACTCCTGACTCAAATAATTTTAGCTCCCTTTTGATCTTTCTTGGTTGGATAGATGTCGGCTTCTATCCTTAAAATGACTATGAAAGCATATAAGCGAGACTTGGTCGGTAAATACCTTCAACCCCTTCCCCTTTGATTCAAGCCTCCATCTATATATCGGGGTTGAAATAATATAGTATTGTGACTATTGTCATCCACATCATGTTTTAAGATTATAACCACAAAATTTTTTCTTCATCAATATTAATATATATGACATTTTTTCATTCCATTTTAAGGCAAATTTGCAATAAATTTTAGAAATTCATTCATGCTATAGCAATGGAAGCCATCAATTCCTTTCTTCTTATGGATCCTTTGGAAGAGCTCAATTTTTTATGTAACTCGTTTCAATTCTACAAAGAATGAGACATGATTTGTTATAATGACATGTTCATTTTAACATTTTTATTTTTAAAATATTTCAAAAACTAAATACATCTAATATCATTCAGCACTCATTAGCACATAAAATTGAGCTAGATTATCGGTTACAAATCTTGATGCAAGTAATTCATTTTCGCAAATGTTATTATGTTTTTTCTATTAAAACAAGTAACAAATTAGATGAAATCGCTATTGAGTGCTTACCATAATTAAAAAAATTACAAATATGTAACAGCTTATTGCTAACTCTCGACATAACCCTTTAGATTCAAATACAACCGAGAAACTACTGCTATAGTACAAGCCACAACTAATTATGATCACTTTGATTTGTCAGCCTCCAAACATTCCTTCACATTCGAATATAACTGAAAAATTATTTCCCAAACAGTCGTTACTACACAATTCACTGGAAACGCAAAATTTCCATCGGATTTCGCTTATAACCGGCGGATTTTGTTCGCCGGTAATAAGTCATTACGCAAAATTTTTGTCGGATTCCGCTTAGTACCGGCGAATTTTTTCCGCTAGTTACAAATCATTTTCCTGTAGCGGAACTGATCAATAAGCAAAAAAGAAGAATACACATCTAAATTTATTTCTTAACTTTATTTTCAAAAGTTGCTCTTCGTGTTTTTATAATGCTTAAATAAAACAGTGTAGTATGTGTTTTTTTTTTTTGAACATTTATGTCAATTTAGATAAATTTATATGCATTATATATATAAATTTTGAATTCAAAATCTCTTAATTAATAGTCAAAATTTTTAACTAATAAATAAAAATAAGCTAGTGGAGATTTTAAATTACAGGACAGATGAGAAAGAAAACATAAATAAGCCTTAAAAAAGAAAACAAGGCTCTTTGCTCGTCATTTCCTAAATTACCGACCTGCAGCAACCCATACATCTCCACTCTTTACAAAACACGTAGCTGTGATAACTGACGGTGCCGGGCCTAATCCACCAAGCCCACGTTGCACGCAGTGCAAGGCGTGACCTTAAGCGTCGTGATACTCGGCCACGTGTTAAGTTAGTTAAAAAAGGACAGAGAAAATAATATATAATAAACATTTTCTGAATATAGCTAGATAAAAAAACCTGCAAACAAGAGCGGTCCTTCCCGTCGCCGTTAAGTAACGGAGATACTTAAGCGGGAAATAAGAGGAAAATACTAACAGTAGAAATAAAATAAAATAAAAAACTAATAAATTAGAAAAATAAAATAAAACTAAAAAAGAGAATGAAGATGAATCTGCTGCTGACTTATGAATCACTGTCACTACTTAGTTACAAAATCGGCCGAATATCGGCGGCCGGCGTGCGAAACGACACCGATTTTCCACTTAGAAGATGCCGCTTGTAAGGGCAGAGGGGAGCGGGTCGAGCGGGAACAAATCGCCGATATCTTCAAAGAAATCGTCGACGTCTTGACACAGAGACGAACCGATTTCAAATCCCGCGCTGGGTATCCGCGACTCACTCGCGAAGAGGCCGAACTCAGCCGCCGAGTTATCGAGAAGCTTCTGCTCATACGAACCGAATTCTAAAAGCTCATTATAAATAGGCATTTCGTCGAACAGGTTGAGATCACCGACGTAGTCGGGCAAGCCAGCTTCCTCTTCCGCAACTGCAGAAGGGAATCTTCGGAGAACAGAGGTGGGCGAGCAGGTATTGCGCGAGTCTTCGCTGGAATCGTACCCACCGGATACGGAGACTTTGGTCGCCGGTGGCAGAGGAGAGAAGTTGGTGGCGGCGTCGGGTCCGCGAAGTTGGATGGCAGCGGAGTCATAGACCTTCGCGGCCTCCTCTGCGGTGTTAAAAGTGCCGAGCCAGACCCGAATCCGCCGGGTGGGGTCTCGAATCTCCGCAGCGAATTTACCCCACGGCCGCCGCCGGACGCCGCGGAACTTTGGAATCGTAGGCATCGGCTGGTGTTTCTCAGATGAGGCCGCGACCTTCTTCTTCCTCTGCCCTGCGCTTGCCTTGCCTGACTTAACCTTAGCAGAGCTGGTTGCAGTGGACGGCTGAAGCTCGAACTTGATTTCTTGCACATAGCGCTTCACTCTTCTGCGGTTAAAGCAGGTATCATCGTCGGACGAATCAGTGGCATCGATATCTTCACAGAAGAATCGAACAGTTCGTGACTGTTGATGCGTTGTACTTAGCGGCCTTGAGGTCACCTCGATGTGAACTGAGTGCTTGATCGGATCTAAGTTTTTCTTTTCCATCATCGTTCTGCTTTTTCTTGTGTTTAATGCGATAGCATTATCTGTAGCGGAAAAATGGGATTTTAGTCAGGATAAAAAAAAGCCAAAAGATGGATTCCTGCTCTTTTATGCTTGCAGAGCGAATAAAGATCAGCATGAAAGGGAACAAAAAAACAGAAATAAAGTAGAAATCGCCCGGTAAAAGTGAAAAAGTGAAGCTTCGAGGAAAGGGGATGGGGCTGGAAGGCAGAGAGCGTGCGGAGAAAGAACAACAAACAACGGATTCCTCCATTGCCGAGAGAAACAGAATCTCTGCAGAACACTAACGGAATAGTGTTGGGAGAGAGAAAGGAGAGAAATTTCTCACAGAAGCTAAGAAGAAACAGCTACCTCAATGACGGGAACTGTCTTCAGGGAGCTGTAGCTTCTAGCCCGTAGTCCTTTCCCTGCTGTAGACAAACACAGAAGCCGTACGATGTTCTAGCTTCGTCGAAATCTCTGCCCCTGCTCCTCCCAAAAATAGCAGAAACCAGAGAGAGAGAGAGAGAGAGAGAGAGAGAGAGAGAGAGAGAGAGAGATGGCTCGCGCGCGAGAGCAGTTGGACGGCAAAAGGAAATGGGGGGAAGAGTTGCGATAGGGCGTCGACCCGAGACTTTGTTGTTTTATAGGAACCAACAGTCCGAATCCGAAAACAGCCACGACGGCCTTTATTAATTTCCAAAATTTTACTTTAATGCTTATTTTCCATTATAACAGTTGAATTTCTCTTTAATAATTAAGAAGCCCTCTGGTTCCATGACTATGATGTCAAGTCGGGCATTTTATTACACGAATATGTCATTCAAATGTTGCCATTAACGGTCAGATCTCGAGCTCAGCTGATCATGGCTCAAAGTTTATTCAAAGTCATTTTATGTCAATTTAATTAAAATATACCTTAGGCCTACTACAACTGAACTCCAAATGCATGAATGACGTCGCTCGCGAGCTCTAATCGAACGACAAAACTTCTACTATTTGGTTGCTGGTGAACAGTGCGATGCCAGTATTAGCGTTCCAGTGTTCACCTATGCTATTTTTCTGTTTTCACTGGATTTGCCGAAGAGATGAGAAAGACGGTTATCTTCACATAAGGGCGCAAAATGGAGTTCGATTAAAGATGAATCAAGACATTTTTAAGTTTCACTGAATTTTGGAGTGAAAAATGAATTTTTCGGTTGGAGATGCCCTTAACTTGATCTCATTTTGATCCCAACAGGTATTGTTAAATATAATCTAACCATAATTTGTAGTGTTTGGAAAATTGAAACGAACAGGCTGGTTCAACTGTGAACTTATCTGATTCAACTTAATTCACATTGAACCAATGTGAACTGATTTGAATCATCGGTTCAATTGCACATCATCGAATCTATTCCAATTTTGTTCATACAGCCTAATCTATAAATAGAAGTTTTTATTTAACAAAATTTTTATAATGTATTTTTAGTTAATTACTTTTTTAAATATTAAATATCCATTTAAAGGCATACCATATGCTAGCAAGTTTAATCAAAATATATGCCTGCCACATATTACATAACTTAATTTTTTCTTTTAATTTGTGCATTATTTTATAAAAAGATAACTTTTTAAAGTTCCCCGATAATATAGGATTGAAAAAAAAAAACCTAAGTGGAATTGGCCTCTGCCTAGTTTCTGCATTATCATATCCGAATTTGCTTAAAACCATATGAGATTGATTTAAACCAGCTGTCGAACTGCTCAACTAGAGAGCCCACTCTAGTTTTCAAAACCAACGAAAGAAAATATTTTATTTTCAACCATTTAATTAGTTCCTACTTTCATGGGGATTTTGAAGCAAGAATTTCTCAAACAAATTTATTTCATACTTGACTTTTATTAGTATTTTTTCTTAAATTTGTTTGATAAAGTTGTTGTTTGTTTCATTTACACATTTTTTTTGTGCATTTCAGGGTTTATTTGGTTTAGTAAAAATATTATTAGAAACCCGAGCCATTTTAATGTTCTTTTTTATTTTGTTTTAGTTTCCAATCGATTATTTTTATGAATTACAGATTTTTGCAAAATTTTTGAGAAAATCTAGTATATTGAATTATTACAAAGGATGATCTAACAGTGTTAGTTAAAAAAAAATGATCTAACTATTTTTTTTATTTTTTTATTTAAAAAAAAAGATCTAACTATGTTAGTTGTTCACTATGCAATATTTATAAAGCTTTATTACTATTTATTTACATCCATTGTTGGTTCATCAATATGGATCCCTACTTCTCTTAAAGTATTCTAGTCTTTATTAACATTATTGCCCCATGTGTAAGCTTGGAATATTTTTCAACCATAGGAAGTCAAAATTAATAGAGTAGTGACAATGTATAGTTTTAATGCAATTTCTTTTCATCTAGTTTTAAGATCCTAGTATAAGGTGAATGGATAAGTCATCTGCATTTGCCTTACTTTCTAGATCCAGTCTATAGTCATCAAATCCTCCTCTATCTTTGGATCTCCAAAAATTTTCCTATTTAATTGTGTTGCCTAATTCATCACTCCTAAGGCACAAAAACATAATGAGATCATTTTGAGCATCCGCCTATAGGTTGCTGAGTATCCCATTGAGAATTTAAATTAAACAAAATACTGCTTTTTATTTTTCTCGATTAATTTTACATAAAATCAAACAATTTTAGATAAAGAGTCCACTTTATACATTTACTCTACTTTCTTAAACTATATTCTTCTAAATGTTTACAACCAAAGGACATGAAGATTCAGTGAGAGTATTACATATTGACAAGAAGCTATTGAAAAATAGGCAAAGGGTTTGAGTATACATAATTTGAAGCACATGATCTCCTTGAGAAGGCCATAGATATTTCTTTGAGAAGCCCTCCACTAATTCAAATATATAGTTCCTAAGGGCCTTAATCTACTAGCTTCTCCTAAGTAAGTTTAAAGTTGTGAATAATGATTGTTGAACTATTATGTTCAACATTATAATTCATAACACAAATTTTGGAAGTTTTTAATTTTTTATGATCAAGGAGTTGGGGTTTGGTGAATTTCCCTTTAAGAAGAAGTCTTAGGAGATCACCACAAGCACAAGGATGGTTGAGATTTCATAAATTGTAATAAGAACTTCATGAATGTTGTTCATTAAAATTACTTTTTTGAGTGCACAAGTAGAGAAAATATCTAGAAGTGAAGACAAGTCTCCACTTTTTTTTGTTTATGAAATCATGAAAAAAATAGTGCCATGTTAACTAAGATTTCAGCTAGAGCTGAGAAAGAGAGATATTTCTTGTATAGATATCAAGAAGAATATCATTTGATATGACAATTTATAAAGCTTTATTACTATTTCTTTACATCCATTGTTGGTTCATCAATATGGATCCCTACTTCTCTTAAAGCATTCTAGTCTTCATTAACATTATTGCCCCATGTGTAAGCTTGGAATATTTTTCAACCATAGGATGTCAAAATTAATAGAGTAGTGACACTGTATAATTTTAATGCAATTTCTTTTCATCTAGTTTTAAGATCCTAGCATAAGGAGTTGGGGTTTGGTGAATTTCCCTTTAAGAAGAAGTCTTAGGAGATCACCACAAGCACAAGGATGGTTGAGATTTTATAAATTGTAATAAGAACTTCATGAATGTTGTTCATTAAAATTACTTTTTTGAGTGCACAAGTAGAGAAAATATCTAGAAGTGAAGACAAGTCTCCACTTTTTTTTGTTTATGAAATCATGAAAAAAATAGTGCCATGTTAACTAAGATTTCAGCTAGAGCTGAGAAAGAGAGATATTTCTTGTATAGATATCAAGAAGAATATCATTTGATATGACAATTAAAAGGCTAAACAAGGAAATGGTAGAAATTGAGGAATGTCCTTAAGGTGGAAAGAAAGTCTAAGCCTACTACATATTCAATGGATTTATTATAAAGAATGAATTTAAAGCTGAATTGAAATTATTAATCAAGACGACACTAGAGTCATAAGCTTATAAATAAAAATGATAGGCAAGGGCATGAGATTTTAAATAAAGATGTAAAATAAATTGCACATATATGAATGCCTAAGATTAATATAAAGTATTTAGCTAGTAATTTCATGAATTCATTTGAAAAAAGGCACATGCTCCTAGATCACAAGGTAAAAATTCTAATTCTAACTTATAAAATAGTGATGAAATGTCCCATAATAATATTATACCTTCTCATTGAGAGTGTCTTGGTTCATCAAGGGTGGAAATTTGTGTAATAATCATCTCCTTGTGTTTGTTCCTCAAAGCATAATGTATATCATTTGTGTTATTCTTGTTAATACAAATTATAATGATCAAATTATTTTTAAATTTTTTGAAAGTGGTGATTTTAGCTTGAATAAAGTTTGGAATTATTTTAGATCCAAGAGAGTCTATGATTCTATACAACAACAACAATATTAAGCCTTTGTCCCACTACGTGGGGTCGGCTACATGAATCCTTTTTCACCATTGTGTCCTATTAAAAGTCAAATTCTCATTTAAATCTAATCAAGAAAGATCATTTCTAATATTTTCTAACCATGTCTTTTTAGGTCTACCTCTACCTTTCTTAACATAAGTCAAATTTAATACCTTAACTATTCTAACCGGGTCATCAGAAGGCCTTTATTTAATGTGACCAAACCATCTAAGGTGACTCACTCTAATCTTATCTTCCACTGGAGCTACTCCAACCTTTTCACGTATATGCTCATTTCATATTCTATCTCTAAGGGTAAAGAAAGTCAACCGCCTAAGCATCCGCATCTCTACAAAGCTTAACATAGCATTATGCTTCTCTTTTAATGGCCAACATTCGGCACCACAGAGCATTGTAGGTCTCACCACCATCTTATAGAATTTTTCCTTAAGTTTAAGGTGGACTTTTTTATCGCACAACAAGCCTGATGCATTCATCCACTTCAACCATTCAACTTGAATTCTGCTAATAATATCCCCATCTATTTCACCATTACTCTGAACAATAGATCTAAGATATCTAAAATGTGTGCTCTTATTAATGACTTGATCGATTACTCAAAGTCAAAATCCCCTCACTAGGTCTATTGCTACTAAAATTGCACTTCATATATTCAGTTTTAGATCTACTCAAGCAAAACCCATTAGACTCTAAGGTTGTCCTCCATAATTAAATTTTACCTTGAAATCCCTCTCTAGTCTTATCAACAAGAAGAAACATATTGAGATAGTTACTATTTAGTTTTGCATGTTTGATATTCTTGCAACTTGTATGTTTTTTATGATTCCAAATATTATTTCTTTGATTACTATTTCTCCTAACATATTTTTGGAAGAATTATTTTGCTCTTATGTGTACTAATATTATACTACAGATTATTGAAGACTTCAAATCAAGATCAGTTTATAGTGTGTTGTAAATTAAAGTATGTATTTTTAATTTTATTGAGTCTGAGAGAGTGTAATTATAATTGAGTAACTGAGCACACACCCACAAGAGGAAAATTTTTAAAATTTATATTTTTAAACTGATCGTACAGTATGAACTAGTTCGTATGGG